AACCTATTGGATTTCCGAACGGCCTCCAGCTCAGCCTCCAGGATCTTGTTGTCGTCCACCAAGTCGTTTTTCTGGAGCAGGAGGGTTTTTTTCTGGGACTGCAGATCCCTGCTCTTGTCCATCATCTCGCGCGCTTCCTTCTCGCTGGTGTCCTGTTGCTGCCGCAGTTGGCTGCCGGAAACAAGCACATCAAACGCCAACTAATTTTATTTGTGAAACAGACACAAATGCTCATTAAACTGCGAGCGCTTCTAATTTTGTGCTACATTTAGTTAGAGCCCGAGAGGAAAACATGACACGGAGAGTCATACTTTGTTACAACAGAGTAACGCGTTTCTCGACAGCCTCTGTGCCCGTGAAAAAAAAAAAGTCAAATGGAACTATGGGAAGAAATTAAAGGATTTAGGACACAGTCTGTTACTAGCATGAAACACAGCAGTTGTTGCTTTTCTGAGTCCCCCTGGTAATATCGGTTTGTTACCTGTTGATCCTGCTGACCCTTTATTTTTCCCCACTTCCTTAAAGTGACACTAAACTCAGTAGTTAAGCCTTAGTAGGCCCCCTCCAGAAGGAAGGACAGTGTTGGCACCAATTCAGAGATGATTGGAGGATCTACAGCCGAGTGATACACAAATAAGATACATTTCTCTTAATAGTTAAAGTGACATTAAACCCTCAGATTTTTTAACATAAAACAATACTGTAATGTGCGACTTACTGTAATCCATGGTTGTTTCCCTTCTCTTTGCTGCTCTTCCTTTTAAATCTGTATCTGTTCTCATGATGGGCAGAACTTCTGTTTTGCAGCAGACTGCCTTGTCTCTGGAATGGCTACATGGTGTCTATGTGTAGGTTTGCAACCTGAGCCAGCACTACAGGAAGAGGCACTCAGCTGCAAAGGGAAGTTCTCCCCAAGCATGAGAAGACATGAGGATTTAAAAGGAAGAGCAGCAAAGAGAAGGGAAACGACCATGGATTACAGTAAGGCGCACATTACAGTATTGGTTTATGTTAAAAAATCTGAGGGTTTAATGTCACTTTAAGCCTTAGTAGGCCCCCTCCAGAAGGAAGGACAGTGTCGGCACCAATTCAGAGATGATTGGAGGATCTCCAGCCGAGTGATACACACGTAAGATACATTTCTCTTAATAGTTAAGGTACCTGAATGTATTTTTATACTTTATCTCCTGAGTTTAGTGTCACTTAGCAGACAAAGCTGTCCAGCAATAGTAACAGTTACAGGCCCCTTCAGCTGTGCTTTAACTACACATCCTAATGCGCCTCTTTGAAATTGAATTGGCTCTGTGCCTTGTGATTCATCACAGCGATCACATGGCAATGTTTATATTGCCAAACCCTCTCCTTCTTACAATGGAGGAAGGTGAGAAAATTGGAACTAATAAAACAAAGAACGAATCACTGATTTATTAGTTCCTGATGAAAACAAGCAGCAGCAACATATAATAAAGGATGTGGATCATTGTTAACTAGGGATGCACCGATACCAGGTTTTCAGTATCGAGTACCGATATTTATATTTCAGTACTCGCCGATATCAAGTACCGATACGTCTGGTAGCATGGAGCCGGGCAATCAGGAAGCCGGGCAGCGTGTCATTACCCGCTGCCCGGCAAAGCCGCTGCATACTGTTTGGCCGGCTCGATGCTGATTGGCTGGGATACCGGCTCCTTGGCCAATCAGGGAGACGGGTCATTACCTGCTGCCCGGCGTCCTGAATGGCTGGGGAACCGGCTCCATGCTGCTTGGCCGGGAAGTCATTACCCTAGCGGCCCGGCTACCTGGATTGGCCGGTAAGCCGGCTCCATGTTCCCTTGCGGCACTGCCTGTCAGAGGAAATCTCCCTCTGACAGGAGGTTCCGGTATCGGGGGTAAGTAGGAGTATGCGCCCAAATTCTCGGTATCGGTGCATCCCTATTGCTAACCATTACACCCCACTCCCCTCCTGTATATGTCAGCTACATTCTATCTCTGCTCTGACCTGTGCATTAACCCTTCACTTCCCTTATCCTGACCATCTGTACTCCCAATGATTTCAAATTCAGGGACTCCTTTCAGCACAAAATATGTATGCAAAAGAACATGCCCCTTGCTACACCCCCAAATATGCGGACCATGAAGATTTTATATGAAAAAAAAAAATGATTGGCCAAAAGATGTTTTTGTGTCGCCACCAAATTTCTTCTTTATATTGCTTTTTGAAGATAACAAAACCCAATCACGCAGAGATGTAACTACCTATAGCGCTTTTGGTAGTTAAATACATTTTCTCTTCTTTTTAGCCATTTTCAGAGCGCTCTACTTTTTTTTTCCTCACTCAAGCATTACCCTTGTAATCAATTCTGACCTTTAACCTCAAACACGGTGCTACGCTTTTCTTTAGGGGGCTTTAAAGCACATGAATGTTGATGAAGACATTAGTCCTCATTACACGGGGCGGGGAGCGATTACCTTTTTAATTCGTTCACCATGGCAACGTGCTCCTCTGCTGCGACGCTGCCATCCATGTTCGCCTTCAGCTCGCTGTACTTGGAGCGTAGAAGTTCCTGCTGCTTCTGCGTTTCTAACAGCGCCTCTTCGCTGCTGCGGTTTGTAGCTTCCAGCGTCATTAGCTGCTTCGTTAATTGGGAGACTGCGGGCAACACGAATAAAGAATATTAATTTATGGCAGGCCGGGCGACGTGCATGACAAGGTCACTTTTCTCCCCAATTTCCTGTTCTGCCTAGGAAATCAATAGGCCAGCACCCGAGATGCAAAAATCCGTTAAATATTCAGCTCAGGAGGAAGGTGGCGTGAGTCGGAGATGGATGGGGGTTATTAAAATGTGCGCTCACAACGTTCACATGCAAGCTGTGTAATTTGTTATATGATCAATAACGCGGGACCAGCGATCTCTCTTTCTGCATTATGGTAACAGCATTTAAGGATAGAACCTGGACCTTAAAAGCTAAAGCTTAATCTTTTTATGTTTGGCCTTTCCTGGCTCCTCCCCATTATCATGCTAAATATTTAAATAAAACCTGCTTTTATTAGACACTTTATTTTAGACGTAGTGATGTCATCACTGGTTCTCTGTGCTCGTCTAGGGCAATGCAGGCAGCTCATGCCTGGTGGGAGGGGCTGCACGTAGCTTCCTGAGAACAGTTTACTGTCCTATGTAAAGCCCACATGTGATGCTGAGCTTCCAGGTTTGGCAGAACTGAAATGCAGTGCATGAAAGAAGCGGGACAGTCAGGCTGGTGAGGAAAGGGCTAGATCAGGGTACGGCAACTCCGGCCCTCCAGCTGTCCAGGAGGCAGAGGCATGTAGGGATTTGTAGTTAAAGCACAGCTGGAGGGCCAGAGTTGCCCACCTCTGGTTAGCTGGTGGGTTAGCTGATGGTGCATGACCCCCAGCCAGGAAATGAGGCGGGCTCTAACTCGCTGCAGCTTCTAATGCACATTGTAAGAAGCTCAGACTGTGCAGTGAAATCCGAGGAAGCAACTTCAGTCCAGGAGAGGAGCTTGTACAACTGTGTAAGACTGAAGGGAAGGCCGGGGGGTCAACTTTAAAAGTAAACTTTTACTTTTTTTTAAAAAGATTACAAGTCCCATCTGAGAACAATTCTCACTTGTATCCGAATGCCTCATGAACTCATTCTTCTTTCTCCACTTTTAAGTCAAGTAATGCAATGTTTCTCAATGGGTAAAGGCTGACCTTTGTTAAATAACAGCATAACTGCTATACAGACACCACTAAACCCACACTTCTCCACATCAGCAGGAGCTCCATTGAGCCTCAGGCATCCAAGACCCCCAGGGCTCTCTCCTGTTAGCATTTCTTCTTCTTAGCCTATGAACCAAATAACTCCTTGTCCTGCTTCTTCCTCTCCCAATCTGAGCTCTGCCATATAGGGACTGCAAGAGTCTAATGCAAAGTCAGATTAAGGTACCCACACTGCTTACATTTACAAAATGACATTGAATGATGTTTTAGTGAATACAGAGATGGGTGACCGTGGGTCCGTTATGTCTGCCTAGAGTTTAATTTTAAGCCATTTTTAAAGGCCATCTGAGATTTAAAAGGCTGCCAGAAAAAACCTACATGCCTTTCACACATAAGGGGAAGCTTTGAATAGAGGTACCAAGATCACATGACCTCACCTTCCTGCAGGTGTTTTGCATGACTCTCTCGGCTCTTCATCTCCTGAACCTCCAGCTTCTCCACCAGGACTGTGTTCTCCTCAGAGAGGAGTTTATTTTGACTCTGAAGCATCTCCCTGCCAAAACAAGTCATGAGAACGTCATCGGTTCCCGCTAACTTCACAATGAAATATACGAGATCATTATATTCCAATTCATGGACAATGGCCACTCCCAGAAGCTGAGGAAGTGCAAGACGGATAGTCCGGAAAGCAGGTATAACGCTCCTTAGGAAGCCAGGGAGAAACCCAAACGAAGACAGAGGATGGTCATATCACACCTACACCTCAAACCGTCCTGCTCAGCCCTGAATAAATCTGACATTAGAACATAAACTTCTAAGAATAAAACTTACCATTCCTTAGAATTTACGGGTCTCTCTTGCTCCAACACCTGGTGCAGTCTCTCATTCTCCTCAATCACCTGCTTGACGCGGCGCTTAAAATTAGTTATTTCCTCCTGAGAAGAAAAAAAAAAGAAAACAAAAAAAGGAAGAGATTGAATTACAAAGACAAAAGGAAATATCACTGTGAACATATATTGGACAATTCAAGATACATTAAAGAGGAGGTTCAATCATATATATGTGGCCTTACCTGGTTCCACCCCCCCCCTTATCAATATGCTAATAAAATGTTCTGTTTTAATACATATTCGACCCAGTGATGTCATTACTAGGCCTCTGTGCTTCTCAAAGCAATGCAGGTAGATCATAAGTGGTGGGAGGGGTCAGCAGGGTGCTATAATAGCTTCCTGGGAGGAGTTATGCAAATACGAAAAAGCCTTCATGGGTGGATGTCGGTCTGGACAAGTGGGCGTCCCTTGGACAGAATGCATTTGCATGCAGACCACCCTAGGTAACACCCACATGTGATTCTGAGCCTCTATGATTAAAAAGAACTGAAATCCAATGAATGAAAGGGGTGGGCCAGGGACAGTAAGCCTGGGGAGGATAGAGCTAGATGATGCTGGACATCCTCCAGACAGGAAATGAGGAAGGTAAAATAACCCCCTTGTGATCTTGCCATGAAGGTCCTTGTGCAGGCACATTCTCTTATAGGATAACAATGCTCTATCCACGAGACAGGCAACAAAAATGGTGACGGGTATGAGGGATAAAACATATCAGAAGGGACTGCAGAAACTTAATATGTCCAGTCTGGAGGAAAGAAGGGGAAGGGGGAACATGACTGAAACCTTTTAATACATGAAGGGTGTGAATAAGGTTCAGGAGGGCAGGATTTTCAATACCAGGCTAAGATCAGGAATACGGGGACAGGACCTCCCAACTAGCAGGTGGAAAGTTCAAAACTAATCTTAGATAGTAGTTGATGTTTGTAAACAGACTTTCAGGCGAGGTAGGTAATCAGTCAACAGTAAGTGAATTTAAAGGGTATTTCCATTCTCCCAGGTGATTGAGAAATGAGCTTTGCTATTTTCCTGCCGTCACTCTTCTAGGTCTCCATGCAGCTTTGTACACAAAGGCAGAGCAGCCAATCCGCTCATATCCTCCTACTGCCGCTTAAGAAACCCAGTTATGTCTCCGTCTCTCCCAAGGCATTTAAGCATTAACCATTAAAAGGGAGAAAATAGCCGTTAAAAAAAAAGATAAAAAACAAAACATTTGAAACAGAACAAAAACCAAAACAAATCAGTGGAGCCAGCTGAGCACATCACTTTATGACATATTTAGGTCAGCAGTGATATCAAGAAAAAAAAAGAAGAAAATATTTTGTTAGTAGGGAACAGTCTGCTTGTCTTAGATCAGACAATTTCCTCCAGTCTGGTGAACCCTCCCCTGCCCCTCCCTCCCAAAAATCTGCATGTAATTGGAGAAAAAAAATAAAAAAAAATTATA